AAAAGCATACTATTTTTACAACTAAAATAACAGTCAAGGGTAAAAAAAACCTAATTCCCAAAAATTAAAACGGAAAAAACGGAATTTGGGAAAAAATAAAACGGAATTTGGGAAAAAATAAAACGGATTTCATAGGGCCCTACGCGTGTAAACGGGTTATTTCTAATGTTACAGAAACCCGAATAGTGACCGTAACCCGACCATAACCATGTGTGTCTTTATCACAGCTGAAGCAAGGCAAAATAATGCTTTGTGAAAAATTAAGCAAAGATGACGAACAAACGACAAGAACAAAAATGCTTTCCTCTTTTGTAATGTCTCTCAGCAACCTCTCTTTCTACAATCTTTTATCAAATCTCCCTCTTGCTCACTCTCTCTCCTTCACATGAGCCGACACGCCTCCTACTGCGGATTGGCTCACGCTCTCTTCGTCCAAATCATGAGTGGACACGCCCCCTACTGCTGATTGGCTACAAGTGTGTTGTACTGCTCAGTCCGATCCACTTTCAACAGCATTTTTCAGAAATCGCTTACTGCAACTTTACCAGCAATTAAACTGAACCCTTGAGCATATTTGTATATTTCAGATTTACCCCGTCTTAAACGTGACTGGTCACTTCACATGTCAATCAGACAGTCTCTTTGAGACAAAAGCCTACAGAGTGGACCAGACTTAATCCCGATAGTCTATTTTACATGCAATCTTTTATAAAGCTGACTAATTATTGTTATTAAGATAGGCCAACACCATTTCTTGTGAGAACACATGGGAAAAGGAAAGACAAGAAAAGCGAGTGTCTCTGAGAGTGAACTCCCCACTCCTACAATGTGGCGTAAATGTGTTTTTCTTACTCCAGATGTTTGGAAGCTGGCCGGCTCCACTGCTCTCTGACATTCTCCTTCTCCTGAAAGAGGACGCCATGTCACAGTAATGTCAAACACATGTGCTCACCGCACCGTCGCCGTCTTTCCCACTGTTTGGAGGGATAAACAAGGCTAAAACTATGGCAATTGCCCCCCTAGCCTGTCCCTGCTGCTCCCTCTCACTGGCATTCCCGCTGGGAGCCCGGGGTCGGCCCTGTAGGATGACTGGATGGGGCAATTTGCCATAACAGTCGGATTTGTACAGCCTTCACCCCTGACTGAGACTCAGTGTATTTATCACTCAACTAGGAGTAACATCAGCGTAGAGAGTTGTCAATCTCAAATCTCAGGAAATTTGTGTCAGGTGATAAGGAGGTTTTTCCTCATATAGGCCTAGTTTTCCCTCAAGTTTTCCCTTGTATAGAGCAGTCACCGTAATACTCATAAGTTCTATAACAAACCTAACTGCCGTCTTCCTTATTAACCAAGTGACCAAAGAACTAGCTGTATGTGAAGTCTTTTGGAGCGTAGAGTTGTCAATGTAAAAGTTGCACTGCAAAACATCAGACATGTATCTGATTCATATGCATGTAGTCCAAGATGAGACTCTATGTGCTGTTCACATTGTTTTGAATCAGAGTTGTGCCACTTTTGCCTGCAATCTCTAGACTCTCCTTGTATCCCATTGATTTTGTGGTGCACTGTGCAATTATGGATTTTTTTTTTTAAATTTTATGCAGCGTGGCATTCCTTTCAATTCATGCAACTTTGGAAAGAAGGTCCCAGATCTTTAACTCAGTCTGAGATTCATTTCCTCACACCAGGACATAAGTGACATATAAGTGCTCTCTGTGGCAGCTAATGACCAGGATAATCTGCACTGAGCTCTTCTAAAGATGTCGACAAATAAACAAAACAGGTTCAAACACCTCTCTGGTAAAGCTCGCGGTCATCCACACCTGCTCGCGACTCAGGTGACCAGGTGACAATGCATTATGGGGTGATATGACAGCTCTCTACATATCAGTAATAAAAATGTAAGTTGCTTTAATCGGGGTCTTTTTCCCTCCATTGTAAATAAGTGTGTTTCAGAGCGTTCTCTTGCGTTCGGATGTTCGGGAACACACTCGTGTGAGACTCTTCTGGAGGGAATTAAACCAAACACACTTCGACTCCGGCGTTTCAGAAACACCAAACCAACATTAGAGATGCTGCGATGCCATTGGTCCGCTGGTTACTCCAGTTATCCAATCACAGCCTCAACGTTTCTTGATGCACATTGAGGGATTTATTCTGTAAATGTGTTTCCATTCTATTTTTCGCTCATCGGATAAAAAAAAATGAATCTGCCTCAATTGACTTTTTAGGCGCAATCTTGCCGTTTTCAACCAGCGTTGTTTTTTTTTAAGCAATTCAAAATGTGCAACGAAAAAATAGGTGGATGGAAACATATCTTGTCGCTCTGTTTAGCGGAAATGGGATCAGGATATTCCTTCATGCCAGATTCGAACTGGTGTACCAACATTATGAACGCAAGCACATCACAACTACTATGGAATAGAGTATGCATATTGCTAAGATTAAAAATGATGGTAACAATTTACAATAAGGTTCATTAGTCAACATTATTTAATATATTAACTAACATGAACTAACAACAATCAATACATTTGTTAGTATTAGTTAATCTCTGTTAAAGTTAGTTAAAAAAAATCCCGCTGTTCATTGTTTGCTCATGTTAGTTCACAGTGCATTAACTATATTAACAAATACAACCTTTGGTTTTAAATAATGTATTAGTAAATGTTGAAATAGTTAAATAATAACCTTATTGTAAAGTGTAACCGAAATGATTTTATCTTTGGTGCCAATAGTGGATAATAAACTGGCTGTGTCGCCACGTGTTGTGTTAGCTAGGTCTTTCTTACAGGATAATGAAATACATTTTTTTTACAGTAAATTTAAGTTAGGTCTGTAAAACCCCAAATGTTGTTATTTACGGTAAATTTCTGGCAACCAACGCTGCCCTTTTTTTTTTTTTACCGTAAATTTAACTGAATTTTTTTCCCGCCACGTGAAGGTCTTTCTCGCAGGTGGCAGTCAGACTACCTGGCCGATCAAGTGCTTATACTGATCACAGGCTGACCCCTCGTTCTCTCCCTCCCCCTTTACCGGCCGTCTGCCGGCACCATCTCCCGCCCACCGCCATCTGCTCCTCTCGTTAATTACGAGACGGCAAACTTCACCTGCACCCGCACTCAAATTACAATAATTACCTCCAGTGCACACCATGTCCCTGCGCCCATTGCAGTCTCTGCCACAAGGACACGCTCTCCCACCCTGAAAATAGACGTCCTGTACACTAGTGTAGCAAACCTAAGATCTGCCGCACAGAAGCAGACACCTTCCACATGACAGTACAAGTGCGTCCTCATTGCAGATCAGTGCCGAGTGTTGCCCTGACAGTTTGCATTGCACTTTTTTTTGGTACTAAACTAGATTCACAGTGAGTGCAACTCATGAAGTAGTCCGTGTGCATAAAAGTATTTGATTTTGGTGCATTATTGTTTGTTTGTGCATAAAAGTATATTAATGTTTGTGCATTATTGTTTGTTTGTGCATAAAAGTATTTGAATTTTGGTGCATAATTGTTTAGCTTTTGTCAACCATGTGCATAAACATAGCCATTATGTTAAGACAGTACCTTAAAGGGACAGTCCACTCAAAAATAAATTTACTCACCCTTATGTTGTTCCAAACCTGTTTGAGTTTCTTTCTTCTGTTTAACTAAAAATAAGATATTTTAAAGAATATCAATAGCCAGACAGTTATTGACATCCATAGGACAAAAAAAATACTATGCAAATACTATAATTGGTTAACAACATTTCTAAAAAATATCTTCTTTTGTGTTCATCACAAGAAAGACACTCATACAGGTCTTGACCAACATAAGGGTGAGTAAATGATGACAACATTTTTATTTTTGAGTGAACTGTCCCTTTAAGAACCATATGATCAGCTATCAGTTAGTTACTTAATTTTCAGTGTCAAATTAGAACAATCTACATTTTTATGTAGCTGACTGTCTTAAAGAAAAAAAGTTGAATAACTTGTAAGCGTAGCAGTTTAACACTGACTTTTAAGCAAACCCATCAAACAAGTTCTCCATATCAAGTCTTTACTTCATATATTCTGACTCTTCTAAGCAAACTGAAGATTAATGAATGGCGTTCTCAGTCGGTGCGCAGGGATATTTGCCTGTAAAAGCTTTCGGGCTGTTTGGTGGTAATGTTTAAGGATAGTCTGTGGCCACAGTGCGGTTTCACCTTTAGACATTCAGCTGTTGGGAAAACTATTACCGTCTGTTCATTCATAATTCAGCTGCTCTTTACTGGGGTCAATTGAAGAGTAAAGTGGTGGTTTGCAGGAGCATCAATGCTGACTGGGCTGGACTGAGGGACAGTTAAGACAAGAGATGTTGCAACAGAGCATATTGTGGTTTCATCCATCAGTGTGATGGCAAGGTTGCAATAATGCACCAGATCAAATCTTCATTTTTCTGCTCAGACTAATCATTTTAAGATGAACAGGTGCAGAGATTGCCAGGCCGATGACTGCTACTTTTCCATTAGATTAAAGCTTAAATATGCTGTATAGTTTTGTCATCAGCCAGATTGCTTGTCAGTAGTGTTTATGTAAACATAAATTAAAGCTCTTTCTCTCCAGAATATGTGAAACAAGGCAGCATGTGAGCACATTTCTGACAGACCAGATCAAACTGAATCGGTTTTTTTTTAATTAAATGAACATTAAGTCTAGTTATTTTCGTACACTGCGACTAAAACGAATAGGCTAATTGTTAAGAAAGATATTTTGTAGGACTTAATATAGGTTTAATTTTTGTTTCGAATTCATTTTTAGCGATAATAGAACATTTATTGATATAATAGTTGATTCGAATTAACTATATTGTATTTCATATTTAAAACTGTACCTGTCCTGAACACATGTTGTTGATCATTTAATTTCTATATTACTGGACTGTACAAGAAGACATCTCCAGCTTTGCAAGCATATAAAATAATCAACCCACACATAAGAAATAGCCGTTAATAATAAGAGGCATAACTTACTTTTGAAGGTCGAAGTCAAACTGAGGTAATTGCAGCCAAAATAATCCAGGCGAAAAATAAAAACTGAAGGAAGATTATTAACGTTACGCCTCGATCTTCATTGAAAAAGTCAAGAACTTTCCAAAATGAATAAAAATCATATATACCGTTTTGAGAGTCTGAGAGAGTTCTGAACTCCTTTGGATTGCACGAGATGTTGACTTTCGTAATAAATAATGAGGTAATTCAATTTTCAAGAGAACGAAAATATATCATACAAAGCTAGAACACAGCGGAGATTTAGTATTAAAGTACAGACTTTGGTATTACGTTCCTTTCAAATGTCAAAATCTTGATAAATTTCTTGGTAAAAATGCATCGGGCGAAAGAAAAGTTCGCTTCGATTTATCAAATGACAAAATAAATAAATAAATTGCAAAGTCCTCCGATTCAGATCTCGCGTTCTTGATGGATTTTATATCATATTCCACAGTAGATGTCCGCGATCCCTCCAATAAGATAGAAATATGTTTTTAATATTGCCACTGATGCTCCATTTTTCTCCAAGTAGAAGTGAATATTGTCTGTGGTAAATCCCGAAAGTCCTCGTCTAAAGAAACGATTTAGATAAGGGAGTGTTACGGAGATATTTCCGTTAATACTCCAACTGTCCTTCGCGAACTCCCGCCACACCGAATTCGAAAAAACGGTCCGTTAAAAACATCATTCGTGTCTCGGATAAACTGATGCTACACATTCCGCGTTGTCTCGCTCTGCACCATCTCGCGTTTTGGTTTATTTTTGTTGTTGTCAGTGGTTGGAAAGCTGGTGTGTTGTTGTCTAATGACCCTTCTGTCTGCGTTTAAAACACCATCTGGAGAGGAGAAGCGTTCTCCAGCGCTCCTAACCCCTTCGCTCTCTCTCTCTCGCTCGCTCTCTCTCTCTCTCTCTCTCTCGCTCTCTCACTCTCTGACAGCCTGCCTCCCCTGTGCGGCATAACCCCCTTCTGATATTGACGTTTCCTAATATAATTCATATCACATTTTTAATAGACCTGCTATTAACATAATTAGGATGTGCCCACAATTTTCTGCAATTCTTAAGGGATCATAAGCGCTGTCCCTGTCTCTGATAAAAATGTCAGATTGATTCTCCAGAGAGCAGTATATTGATGGTCAGGGAAACGGTTTTTTGAAGGTATTTTGATCAGGCGCCGCTAGGGGCCGCTGTTTCCCCATATCACATGCACTCGCGCTCATCAGGCGATTGACAGCAAGGCAGCTGGTGCCCGAAGCCCGATCGAGGCCATTCAAATCAGATGGGAGATATGATGTTTTTGAAACATAGTTATGAGTATTTCATTTTACAGGAGTATCATGTGCTAAAACATTGACTGTTGATTGATGGATGGATAGTCCTAGGCCTCATTTAGCTGTACTATTTTATGTGTGTGGTAAAAACAATAACCTATAGTAGGTTACACTACATATTATAAAGCACAACAACAGAGTATCCAAATACCCTTTGTCTTCACTTGGTTTATCATTTTCCACCTAACTAACCAAAATATTTTCTAAGAAATGTCACTTAGTTTGATCAGTTCACTGTATGTGTGTCTCAGACTGCTTATAAAGGTGACTGTAATTGTATTTATTTCGAGAGTTTGGCTACTGTTTTATTTGTGTGGTAAAAGTAAAACAATACCATTTTCAAATATTACAGCAAAAAAGTGGCATCTATTTCCAAGCCAAATGTTTTATGAAAAACATTTTCAAAAAATGTCATATTTTGACATTCAAGTGTCACTATGTGTCTGAGACTGCTTATGGTGACTGTAATTGTCATTAATTATTTATTTTGAGACTTTGACGAATAACTTTCAGCTGATGTCTACAGCAGAGCAGGGTTTTTTTTTGTGATTCAAAGAGCCGTATGCACTGTAAAAATGAATATGCTTTATCTAATCAATAAAATTGTGGCAACAGATTATAAGCAATATAATTAATTAAATTGAACAAATTAGAATTGAGTAATAGTTATTCAAATTAACATTCTAATTTGTACAATTTCATTAATAATATTGCTTGTAATATGTTGCCACAATTTTATTGATTAGATAAAGCATATTATTTTTTTCAGTGCACTATTTCTGAATATGGATAAGAGATGGCATTTCCACCGACATTGTGATTTCTTATGGTTTGGGCATAATTTTCAATGCAGAACATATTCTGAGGCATTGGTGGAAAAGCTCTAGTAAATACAGCTGCTAAGAAATGGACCAACTTCTCCATTTTATTCAGTTGATTCCCCATTTTTGACTGTTTAACCATCGCTGCACCTGCTAGCCATTCGCTGTTGTTGTGACTCAGTTTTAGGGGAGGATTTAGCGGTGTCACCGCAGGTGAGCTGATGAGAAACGCACATCTGCCTTTCTTTCTTCCCCACCCCTCCGAAACGAAGGATGCAAAGACATGTAAAAAAACACAGTGAGTGCTGTTGGAGAGAGCGGCGCTGGTGTAGAGTACACAGAGACATCTGCCCCGTCCTCCTTCACTCACACCATCGCTTGGCCTGATCCATAATAACACACAAATATGACATAAACCCATTACTGGTTATTCTTAAGGATTTTCTTCCACATTCCACGGTTATTTTATTACAGTGGTCTTGATTTCTATGTCTATGTGCCACTATCTCAATTTATTTTTATTGTGTCATGTTTCTGTCATGTTTATTTGTACTTTATTGTAAAGCGACTTTGAGTATTCTGAAAGGCGCTATATAAAATAAACATATTATCATAATAATAATAATTATTATTATTAACCCATTTGGGTTGTTTTTGACAGTGCTGGGTCAGTCAATTTGATATTGAAGGCTTTTCATTTTAAATGAGACAAATGCACCCTAAAATCTCAGGAACAGTTCATTTACAATCTTTTTTAATCAATCACGACTTCCGAAGTGAGACATTTGTGATCTCCTCATGTTCTGTTTGAGGTCTTAAAATAACAATAATAACAAGCAGCTTGATAGCCTACTTCATAACTATTCCCAATATTGTCAGACTAATAAAAATTCAACTTGATTTTCCATGAAAAGATCAAGATCAAGTCACAATTTTGCATCTAATCCTTTTATATTCTCTCTCTCAGAATGGTTTTCTGGTTGTCTATAGGACTGTGAGATGGATAACTGGTTGTCCCGGGGCGTGACGAAGTGTTTATGGCTCTCTGAGGAGTTATAGCCTTGTCTGTCCTAACCTGTCAGGGCCGTCTATGGCCACACACACGTACACACACACTCCTGCTATGCCTTTGTCTTATTGTGAGGCTAAAGCTCCAGAGAACGGGTTGAAATGGATATGAAACATACTTCTATAGTATATTATTGATATTAAAGTGCACCTATTATGCTATATTAAAGGTTTTCTACAACAGGTTTACATGCATGCAAGGTCAAAAAACAAGAACTTTCTCATAAATATACATTGCGCATCACCACATTTCTCAAGGAGTCTGAGAGGCACTTTACATGGAAGCTTGTTTCCACCACTGAATAAAAAAAATAAAAAAAATAATTTTGACTTTTTATCTCACAATTCTGACTTTTTTTCTCACAATTGCGAGATAAAAAGTCAGAATTGCGAGTTATAAAGTCAGAATTGCGTGATATAAAGTCAGAATTGCGAGATATAAAGTCAGAATTGCGAGATATAAAGTCAGAATTGCGAGATATAAAGTCAGAATTGCGAGTTATAAAGTCAGAATTGTGTGATATAAGTCAGAATTGCGTGATATAGTCGCAATTGCGAGACATAAAGTCAGAATTGCGAGATATAAAGTCAGAATTGCGAGATATAAAGTCAAAATTGCGAGTTATAAAGTCAAAATTGCGAGTTATAAAGTCAAAATTGCGAGTTATAAAGTCAGAATTGCGTGATATAGTCGCAATTGCGAGATATAAAGTCAGAATTGCGAGATATAAAGTCAGAATTGCGAGATATAAATAAAGTCAGAATTGCGAGATATAAAGTCAGAATTGCGAGATATAAAGTCAGAATTGCAAGATATAAAGTCAGAATTGCGAGTTATAAAGTCAGAATTGCGAGATATAAAGTCAGAATTGCGAGATATAAAGTCAGAATTGCGAGATATAAATAAAGTCAGAATTGCGAGATATAAAGTCAGAATTGCGAGATATAAAGTCAGAATTGCAAGATATAAAGTCAGAATTGCGAGTTATAAAGTCAAAATTGCAAGTTATAAAGTCAGAATTGCATGATATAGTCGCAATTGCGAGATATAAAGTCAGAATTGCGTGATATAAGTCAGAATTGCGTGATATAGTCGCAATTGCGAGATATAAAGTCATAATTGCAAGATATAAAGTCAGAATTGCGAGATATAAAGTCAGAATTGCAAGATATAAAGTCAGAATTGCGAGATATAAAGTCAGAATTGCGAGATATAAAGTCAGAATTTCCATCACGCAATTCTGAGAAATAAATTCAAAATTGCGAGAAGTAAACTCGCAATTGTGAGAAAAAAAATTCAGAATTGTGAGATAAAAAGTCGCAATTACCTTTTATATTTTTCATTCTATGGCGGAAACAAGCTTCCATACTTTATGTTTTGACTACAATGCACTAACATTAAAATTTATCAATTGACACAATGTACTTATTGTGAACATAATAGGGATGCACGATATATGTTCATTTTTAATGTTATAGTTATCGGCCTGATAAGAAAATCTTACCAATATGTTAAAGCTGATAAATATTATTATTTATATTTATATATTATTATAAAAATTTGGATTTAGATTTATCGGCCAACATATCGATTATCGGCTTTCAAATATAAAGAATTATCGGTATCGGCCAAAATTTTATACATATTTTACATAGAAATTATATTATATTTATTATATTTATTAATTATATTCCTGTGATTAATTATATATATAATTAATTAATTATATAATTAATTATATTCCTATAACCGGTCCTACCTCAAATTTTCACGATTCAACATCAACACAATGAAACTCAGTTTCCTTAAAACACTGTTGGGTAAAGAAGCTGGGCTGATTTGACCGAACTGGGGTTGCATAATCAATGCAAAACGCCCAAAATGACCCAAAATTGACCCAGCACTTTTATAGTGTGTATACCGCAACAGGAAGCATCCACAACAGGGCCGTGATTACAACACTGGCTCGCTGCAATTGCAACATGTAGTTACGCAGAGTTTCTGGCCTTATAGAGTTGCAGTGACTGGAGCAAATGGTGCAACATGGGATTCTTATCGCCGTGACAGCAGTTTGATTGACAGCTCTGTGCTCTCATGGGGGGTGCGCTCGTAGACAGCCTGTCAATGTCAGCGCCTGACAGATCTGCCTTTCTCGCTCATTTAGGGCTTTGTTGATGCTCTCCTCCGAGTGATCACTTTCAAACCCCTCCATTATGAGATATATCTCTACGCCTCTGACCTTCATCTAGTGGCATTAAGAGTGTCTGTATCAGATATAGGCCTTGAAAATGCATCTTTTTCTCTCCTTTTTGGCCTTCAGTTCACACTGAGACTGCGTTTTTATTAATTTGAAAACTCTCAAAAGTGGATACATTTGAAAACGCAGTGTTCGCGTTGTAGTGTGGACGGGGAAAACTGAGGTATTTAACAACAATGGCGTAAGTTTAGTCATGTGACGCATTTTGTACCAATAGATATTCATGTTTATAGTGGTATTGTGCCTGTTCTGTGCCATTCACTTTCACACTGTTGCTAAAATATGTTTCTTCACACACTCTTCATATCACAGTCTTGTAAAGATGACTGAATTCACACACATTTGCTGTCCTGCGCGAAACATGAGCAGTTTCAGACCAAACATATAATAGT